CTCTCTCTCTCTCTCTCTCTCTCTCTCTCTCTCTCTCTCTCTCTCTCTCAGTGCCTCTTCTTTTTAGTGTAAAAATTGTGACTTTCTTCCTGTTAATTCATAAAACATAAATATTGATACATTCGAATAATTAAACGTTTTACATTTAGTGAACTGGATTTCTTGTAGTGATTCAAATCTAACATGGATTTGTGAAGAATTTATCCATTTAAACCATGATTATGAGCAAGTGCATAGATATACTCCTGGAATAGAAGCTGATACAGGAAGCATTGTTGACAAGATCTATCTATTTCTAATTTTTCTTGTAATTCCTCCATTGAAAGATATTTTTTAGGTTATCAAATGATGCATAGTGCGATAAGGTCGGAACAAGCAAGATCTATAATATATGGGAATACCAATAGGATTCATTTTTTGAGAAAACAAAAAAAGAATTGACGATCCACTCATTGGAGAACTCTTTCCCGCACTTCTATAAGTGTTGGAATTGATATTCCTAAAATAAATAATCGATGTTCCTGACTTCACAGAAATGTATTATGTGAAGATACCTTGTCAAAATCGCGGAATCGGGATTTCGAATCGGAATCGTGACCTTTGGTGAGAGATTATGATAATTATGCTTCAAGCATTAAGTATCCTTAAGCTTTCCATAACTACCTGGGCTTCTCATCTCATTTAACTTTAGCAGATTATTTGCTCAAAAGAGATACATGGATGCTCAGTTTTTATTATTAGCTTATCTTTTTTATATCTATTATTTATTTATTTAAGCATCAGTTTTGATAAAATCAGCTACGGTTTGTATGTTCATCTTACAACATGTAGGGTGACTGTCCCACATCTCGTGCAGAAAGGATGTTGCATTGTAATTAAATGGCATCCTATTGTAGGAAACATTAGATCCATTGCTCATCTTTTTCATTTCAACTGAAGTTTCATTGTTGGAAGCTTCTTGGTCCTTGGCACCTAAAGTCCTAAAAATTATCGCTTTAAACTGGTTATATGGTTCATCAGTTTCATTTGGCTTGTTTGTTCAAATGGATGGATCTTAGATGAGTTATATTTTTGTGTTTTGAATGTGTTGATCTTGTGGATCTCCAGCTTTGACGTAAATGACTAACTGCAGCCCCTAGTAGCCTTGAAAATCAATGGATGAAAGTGGAGAATGAGCATGTTAGATTTTGGCAAGTCTGATATAATTTCATGTGAAGAGTAGTGTGCTTCGTTTATTTGTTTCTGCACAGACATGAAATGCGTACTTTAACTCTAAAAGTTGCTAGATTCACGTCGCCAGTTGGTACTTGATAGCATATTCATCATTGATAAACTATAATAGTATTTTGTCTATGGACTAAAGAAATTAAAAGCTCCAAGATGGACCACCTTTTCACTCTTTAGAACCTCACAGTAATCTGCTATCATATCATACAACTTTTCCAGTGCTTGCAAGGGAATTTTAAGTCTAAAAGTTGCTAGATTCACGTCGCCTGTTGGTACTTGATAGCATATTCATCATTGATATACTATAATAGTATTTTGTCTATGGACTAAAGAAATAAAAAGCTCCAAGATGGACCACCTTTTCACTCTTTAGAACCTCACAGTAATCTGCTATCATATCATACAACTTTTCCAGTGCTTGCAAGGGAAAGTTTACACCATTTTTGAGCTGTGAAGTACACCATGGATACTAATCAGTTGTTACTCAGGATTGTCTGTTTGTATTTTTTCTATTAGGAAGTGTGATAAGTGGTGTATGTATGGTGTCCATTTAAAAATTATACAAGTTTCCAAAGAGCAGGAAATATTTCCTCTCCTTGGTCTACCATTTCACGACGGTTTGTAATTTATACTTGCTTGAGCACGTCTTGGTGGCTTCACAAGAATAGTTGCCAGGGTCAACATGTAAAAATGTTTGTGTTGAAAGAAAAATCAGTATGGAGCTCAGCTGGTTTTTATTTGCCTCTGAAGATACCTTCCATTTTGACTTTCTGAATGTCATATAATTATATCAGGCATTGATAGTTACACATTTGCAGCTAATGCTTGCTTTCATCGTACTGCAATGTTAATGTAATGGCTCAAGAATATTCATAATCTTTTTTCCCTGTACCCCGCAGTATAGTATTCATGCTACCCTCATATATGAGAATCATATTTCTGCCCTATTTCTGTTGGTTGAATACTTCTCTCATTTTAACTTTAGATTTTCCATGTAGTTTCTTTCTTGTTGAATCTGCAGTATTCTTTACTTCTACGTAGAAAATTATCTTTCCTAAACTATTATTTGATCATGGTAAAATGTGAAAATTATATGCCTACTGCTCTTGAAAACTATGAATGCCACAGGAACTTATCATCCTCTACGCCATCACTTAGTTCAACAAATGGGTCATTCTTCGATCGCATTTCCACCACTAAATCAAGGTTTAAGTTCTGTATGAGACCAAATGTCTGCACTGGGATTTTTGTTCCTTTTGACATTCTTTTGTCAAAATGCTAAATATTTTTTATAACAGGATTTAGATTTCCCCATGGAAGTTCAGAGTCGACTTTATCATCACAAAGAAGCTCCGCTGGACATATACCATGGATACAACCTACCAAAGGTGATTTTGAAGTTAAAAACATTGTTACTGACGAAGTTGAAGGCTTGGAACTGTAAAAACATTCTAAGAATGAAATTTGTGCGAACTGTTTCAGAGTTTATTCCATCAATGAAATTTCAGAACTACAAAGGAAAACAAAATTTGGGACCCTCACCTGCACCTACATTCCCTCCTGAGGGTAAGTGTACTCTCCATAATAAGCTTTTCACAGATCGTTGATTTCATTACCTCAAAACATCATGTTATTCTCTTTTTTCAGGCTCTTTTGTTAGTCCCAGCAGTAACCCACCGGAACAGTACGAGATTTTACCTGGCACTGTTTCAGCCCCAACATTTACCCCTTCATATGGTAAAGTTCCTTTTTTTCTATTCGTTTTCTCCTAAATCTCTTAGAAATTACTATGGAAAAAGATATTCTGAAGGATGTGTATTCGGTGAATGTTGTTTTGAATTTTTATAAGCTGAAAACCGTTTCTTGATTGTTAGATATCATTATTATTAGCATTTATAGAAATTCTTGTGATTTTCTATCCTGTAACGGACTGGGTAGGAGCCTAGGATCTGATTCTGCAATCAATATGCAGATTGTGATCAGGTTACTTGTTCTGATCCACTCACCTCAACTCCAATTGGATCACCATGTGGCTGTGTGCTCCCCATGCAAGTTGAACTAAGCCTTGGTGTGGCACCATATGCTGTGTTCCCTCTTGTTGAGGAGCTAGAGATTGAGGTTGCAGCAGGTACATACCTGAAGCAAAGTCAAGTGAGGATTATGGGTGCCAATGCTCTCAGTCAAGATCAGGAGAAAACAGTAGTGAATATCGACTTGGTGCCACTTGGAGAGAGGTTTGATAACACTACTGCTTTACTAACTTACGATAGGTTCTGGAGAAAGAAGGTGGTTATTGATAAGATCCTCTTTGGTGATTATGAGGTTATCTATGTCCGTTATCCAGGTAGTAACCAATTTTCCTCCTCAAGTTTCCGTTTTCTCTCCTTTTCTTCCTTTATCTATATATGGATATTTGTTGTACAAATACTAAGTGTGTCATATCAGGGCTCCCTCCATCACCGCCATCCTACTCTGCGAATGGATCTATTGCGGCTGGTCCTGGTTCAATTTTTGGAAGTCATGAAGAACCTTTAGGAGTTGATGCTGAAAATAGGGGTGGAAAAATGAGTAGTGGAACAATCGCAGTTGTTGTCTTATCATCGGTCGTTGCCTTCTTGATTTGTTTTGGGCTTCTTTGTATTATTCTTTTGAAATGCAACAAGATGGGAAGATCTGCTCCTGCTGTCGGGCCTGTTCCAACATCATCTATCACCAAAAGATCTGGTAAGACCTTGTGAATGATTTTTTGGATGAAATTTTAGTGCACAAATATTTACTTTGTTAGTAAAGGCAGACATGATGATGGGCATTGTTACTATAATAAATAAATTCCTTTTGTTTTTTTTTTGGCCCCATATTTGATTGGAGTTATAAATGCATTTTGTGAGGCAATTATAACTGAAAGGTGGCGAATGATGTCCTTGACTACTTTTTTGACAACATAGTGATGGGATGTGTAGGATCATAACAACTTTGATAACTACTGTTTTTCTTTCCCTTGATTCATAATCAGATCTATAGTTTTCAAATCAGATCTATAGTTTTCAATTTATATATACTAGTTGGACTATGTACGTTGCACGTAATTTGTCATTTCAATAGAGAAATTTGCAAAAAAAAAAAAGCCGTCACTTCCTGTATAATTTTTAGTTGTTGTAAGATACAGCAGAGTAGTAAAAAACTAAATAATTGGCTTTTGAATTTTGAGACTGTTCATATTACATATGCTCATCTGCCCTTGCATCAGTCTAAGATGATCATGGGAACGTGCATCTCTACATTGTTCTTCGTTCAAAGAACTCTTCGAATTGAGCGATTTCGACCCATTTCCTGTTATTACATAATATTACTACAAATTTTGAATATGTATTGTGTACTAATTCGGTAAATCATACAACAAATAAACATATGAGTGGTTTCAGGGTTATGATCTATTTCATAATATCACTATAAATTTTAAACACATGCTGAGAATTATTTGGGTAATGTATGTGATAAATACAATATCTCCCAGGGCCCAACATATTTTGGTAGATTTTTACATGAATATAGATACAATTCTCAAAATAATGATTTTTTACGTTAAGACAAAGACTTTTAGCTAATGATTTTTTACATTAAGACAAAAACTTTTAGCATTTTTTCACAATAAAGAAAAACAAATATTATTGCAGATAAATATTGCACTACATAACAATGAAGAATGTTATTTGATTTTATGGAAGTACACCATGCATGATGATATAAAAAAAAAGAGTATACATGCATGAGGCCAATTCCATTATTTTGATAAATATTGCACTACATAAAAATGAACATATGTAGTTTGATTTCATGGAAGTACAACGTGCATGATGATGATGATGATGATGATGATGATAATAATAATGATAATAATGATAATATACTGATAATAATAATGATACTAATAATAATAATAATAGTAATAATTCTATGTGGATCCTTTATTTTAAGAGTTCCTAAAATCCCTAAACTTTCTTTAAAATGGGAAACCTCTATATTTGCTGGGATACTATATAATATTGTGACCTATATGGGAGCAATGAGATCATTGATAAGAATTGATTTTGTTGTAAATTGATTTTGTTGATATGGTAAGCATCTAAAATCGATCCAATATACTCTCTTTCTCTCTCTCTCTCTCTAATTAGAATATAGAAATAAAGATATGGTATGTTTAGATAAGAACTGATTTTGTTGATATGGTAAGTATCTCTCTCTTGATTTTATTGTAAATTGATTTTGTTGATTTCTTTCTCTAAATGGAAAATTGATTTTCTCGTACTTGTGCATTAGAAGAGCGGATCATCCTAAGGAGGAAGTACAACGCTCTAATTTTAGGAGTCTAAGGAGGAAGTACCTCGCACTACATGTTTTAGGATAGGGATGGCTAGATTCATGGCAAGAGATTTTAAGGAAGGAGTGATATGCAACAATTTTAGGAAAGATTGGAGTTACCATAATAAGAAGTACCACGCACTAATTTTGTCTTCTACAAAAGATGTGTACAAATACTCTCTCTGCCCTTAAAAGTGGGAATGTCTCCTACAACCTCTATAGAATTAGGGTCCCTCTTTATTTTTGCGACACGTGTCCACTCCTTAACTCTAGCTTAATAATATAGTATATATATTTAGAGCCCTACTCAGGTGTGAACTTCAATCGGAGTTTGGTAATGTAGGTTAATACTATCTTCTGATTGAGGTCTCCATCAGATTGTTTGTCTGAATGAGGTCAATTCTTATCAAACTGGAAGCTAGAACAATAATATCAAATCATCAAAAGACAAATTTGCTTTGGAAAGCCCTTCTATTTTACCTGTCATTGTGAATATATTGAAGCTTGTTAACTTTCTGCAATTATTACTTCTTTTAACCTCTTTTTTTATTTATTGGGCATCTGCTTTTACTTGCTGAGTCAAGTAAGCTTTGGAATGACCTCAACTCAGCTCGCGTCAGACTTATGCTGAGTAATTATTATGTGATAAAATTAGAACTTTGTTTTATCTAATTTCAAAAAAAAACTTTGTTTTATCTTTCATGATATCATGAGGTTTTCTGCTTGCTGATGACTCTACCATTCTTAAAGTTTGGATTATGGTTTAACGAGAATACATTCGTGGAGTATTGATGCAGGCTTGAAATCCATGTTATCAAGTAGTTTAGCAAGCTCAATATCTATGTCTCTTGCTTCCAGCATGGCAACTTGCATGCACTCAGTGAAGCCATTTTCACTAGTGAGCTTGAGAAGGCCACAGACAGATTTAGTTCAAAGAACATACTTGGTGAGGGAGGCTTTGGGCGTGTTTATCGTGGAATCGTGGAGGATGGTACCGAAGTTGCTATCAAGGTGCTCATAAGAGAGGACCATAGTGGTGGCTGTGAGTTTAGATCAGAAGTTGAAATGCTAAGCCGTTTACATCACCGAAACCTTGTCAAATTGATTGGTATATGCACCGAGAAACATAGTCGCTGCTTGGTATATGAACTTGTCCATAATGGAAGTGTTGAGTCTCATTTGAATGGTATGCTTCTTCACAATCTTGCTGTAATAAACTGTTAACTATGATTGTTATGAAGAAAAAGCTGATTCAATCTATATCAGGTCCACAAGACAAAAGGTCGCAGCTTGACTGGGATGCAAGGATGAAGATTGCTCTTGGTGCTGCTAGAGCTCTTGCATACCTTCATGAAGATTCTAACCCTCGTGTCATACACCGTGATTTCAAGGCCAGCAATGTTCTTCTTGAAGATGACTTCACTCCTAAGGTCTCAGACTTTGGATTGGCAAGGGAAGCTTCAGAAGGAAGCCGACACATATCTACTCGGGTGATGGGTACTTTTGGGTATGTTTCATTCATCTTCTGATTTTCCCGTAGTTCTTGTATATTTTTTTCTCTTGGGTGGCAGTGATATTTGTAAATTTGCAGCATTAAAAGTTACAATAGGGACATACTGGCCTTACAGAAAACTTCCAAAAAAATATTTGAGTTTAAAATAAATTTCCTGTCTATATAGTGCACAAGAATCACCTAAAATCTTTATGACCTCGATTGAGTATCAACTCCTAAAATGTACCTCTTCGGCTCAAGGTGAATATGGTCCAAAGAATCAGAGTCATTCTGAGAACTCAGAAAGCGAAAGGCTGATGAATCCTTATCCTGCCTATGTCCTGAGAGAATCTAGTTGCAACATGGATTTCTTCTTCTGCAAGGACTGAGGGGAGTCTTTTTCAATTGACAATTCATTATTTTTCTTCCTGACATTTGATCCTATTTTTTTCTATTTCTTTTATATTACTTTGGTTCATCGAGGATTTGTCTCTTACTTTGCACCCACTTACAATTTGACATAACCCTGTCTTCTTTATTAGCTCCCGGAAAAGAAAGAGAAGTCAATGACAAAGACCAAAATGACCTCCCTTGATAAGCTCAGACAACTATGATATGGAGAGGCCTAGGTCTGGATCCTTGTGAAGCTGGATATTGGCAGTGTTCAAGAACCTGGTAGTTGAATTGTATGATGCTTTGTGAAGAGAGTGAAATGTAAGGAACTTTGTGGTTGTAACCTAAATTCATAGTAAGTTGGAATCAGACCGGACTGTGAAGAAACCATTGGAAAGAGGATAATGAATGAGCTTAGGATCCCCATAGAAAAACTCGACTGAATGATTGAGCCAAAGTTTTCCCTCACCAAGAAGCGCAGAAAGGAAGCCATAAGTTTGTTGCGGGTAATTATCTGGACCACATGGGACATCTGTGGCCTCTTGATGGTAAGCTGCAACTGTCCGCTAACCAAACACCTATAAGTATCAGGTTGCCTGTTTCTGTCTTCAATTCATAATCTCACATTAAGTGCAAGGGTGTTAACTTTCTGATCTGTAAGTTGAGCTCCTATGATGAGATCCTGAATATATGTCTTCTGAGTAACCAAAATACATCTAGAAGTTGACTTGCTATACATGAAATCTTAGTTTACCAACTCATCATGGGCCTAAGTCTATACGGTATTTCTAGATATATCAGTGATCATTAAGTGTGATTCTTAGTATATCCATTGGATTTAGAGTGGAGTCTCCAATCTCACAAAGTCCGAATCTACTTTTGCGGAAGTTATAAATTGTTTTCCAAGTGATTGTGTAGTGGATGTGATGGCATCCCAATTGAATTGGGAAACCTTCCAAATTGGGGAGGAAAGGAAGACATATCCCTTAATGGGTGTTGGAAGGTTATTGTAGATTTTTTTATTATTTATATGTTTTTAGAGTGAATTTTGAGTTTTTAGTATTGTTTATTTTGTGAGAGACTTTATCGTGGGTTTATTTGGGGTTATATGTATTTAATAATTGTGAGGTAGCATGGAGGTGGAGATTGGAATGTATGGACAGTTGCTAGGATTTTGTAGACATTTGTAAGGTTTTTTAATATAGTTTACATAGTATGAGAAACATGACTATTGGAATAATCATAAAAAAATTAGGAGCTCTTGTGCTCTTCTTCAATGGTTGGTTATTATTCCTTCTTTAGCCAATGTGCAGAATTTTGTGCTGCTTGGTTTTATTTTTTACCCGCTCTAGTATTTTTATTTAGCAATAAGATATTAGGGCCTGTATCAGGTGGAGATTAGAATTAGAATGGACAGCTAGGGTTTCTTAGAGATATTTAGAGCAGTGTTGCGTAGACGCCGACACATGGTCATTGTCTGCCCATGTCTACAGTGTCTAATATGCGAGATAAAAATATCGGTACTTTTTGGCACGGGCTGTACAGTATTTTACTCCTTTAATTTTGTATATATAAAATTTTCCAAAACTTAAAACAATGAGGTCGCTAGCTTAGATGGCTGCATACTTCTTTTAAGACCAAGGACAGAGAGGTCCTAGTTTAAAAACCCATAGATGCACTATTAGGCATTATTTATCTTCAGTTTATATTTTCCTATCATGTAAGTAAATGATGATGATGATGTATGAGTAAATGTATGCAGCAGGTTTGATCAATATTCACTAAAAGATATAGAGAAAATATCATTAAAGGGCATGAAACCCCTTAAAAAATCATTGAAGGGGTCAAATTATCCTTATTATTATCTGAGGGTATAACTTTTTCTTTTTTATTTCACTTAGATACCTCTTCTAAAAAAAAATCTCTAAATACTCAAATTACTATTGTCCAATATTTGGAATGAGGAACAATGAGGGGCATTTTAGTAATTTGAACCCATAGAGTTTTCAATTGAATGATGAAAATGCCCCTAGTTGTTCTGCATTACAAATAACGAACACTGTATGCAATGTTAGTAACACAGAACAAATAGGGGTATTTTTGTAATTTTTTACATGCACAGCGTTTAAGTGCAAAATGACAAAAATAAGCCTAATTGTTCTGCATTACTAGTACTAAACAATGTGTTCCCTATTTGTAATATGGAACAACTAGAGGTAATTTCAAGGACAAAAGAGACGTACAAAACAAAGGAGATACAGAATTGTGCGACTATCGAGGGATCAAACTTATGAGCCACACTATGAAGTTGTGGGAGAGAGTGATTAAGCAATGATTAAGGTATGAAATGAGTGTATCAGAAAACCAATTCAGTTTTGTGCCAGGGAGGTCAACAATTGAGGCTATTTTCCTATTGAGGCAACTGATTGAGAAGTAGTTTAGGGTAAAGGAAAAATACTTCTACATGGCCTTTATTGATCTAAAGAAAGCTTATTATAGATTTAATTTGGTGGGTATTGGAAAAGAAAAGAGTCTATAGATACCATATCGACCTGGTGAGAGATTGCCATGTAATTTGGTGGGTATTGGAAAAGAAAATAGTCTCTGATTAGGGCTCTTGGAGTTGTTTTAAATAGTTGTTTTGGAGGGGCAAAGGGGAACTTTGGACTTTTGGAATATTGCCATGGTCCATGGAATTTGGGAACTGTCGACTATTCTTTAATAGTTGTTTATTCCTTCTCTAGCCAATGTGCAGAATTTTTATGCCTGTTGGTTTAATTATTGGCGTGCTTTAGTATTTTTATTTGATAATAAGATATTAGGACCTGCATCAATTGGAAACTAGAATGAATGGACGGCTAGTATTTTGAAGAGATTTTGGAGTTTTTGGAGATGCTTTGAGTAGTTTTTTTAGTCTTTTAGAGATAGAAAGGGAATTTTTAGAATTTTGGAATATTGTTATGAAACTTTGGAGCTCTTATGCTCCTCTAATAGTTGCTATTTTATCCTCTAGCAATTGTGCTGAATTTTTGTGCTTGTTGGTTTTTTATTACTTGCATGCTCTAGTAATTTTATTCAATAGTAAGACATTTGGTATGCATCGGGATGATATACATATTCCTATAAATCCCAGTTCTGTTATCGGTCATTGCCTAAAATATACAATATTTTAGACTATACCCAAATCCTAACTCCTTAAAAGAACAAGAAACTACTGAACCTTATGGTTGGGCATTCGTTATTGTATGGACTAAAGAGGGTGCTTTAACTGAGGTGGAGCTTTCTTATTTCAGCTCTGAAATAAGTGGAAGCTTAGCATTCTCTCGAAAAAAAATAAGTGGAAGCTTAGCATGCTAATGACTTCGATATTTAGGTATTTATAAACATATCCTGCACGATGTTTTCCTGTTAAATATTATCGATTAAAAAAAGGGTTCTCCTGTTGAGGATTTATTACTTGCTTTTTTTCAAGGAACATAATTGGTGACTAATTGTTAATTTATTAGGTGATAGGGAAATTGAGTAATGCTACCAAAAAAAAAATTCTTGTGGTGCTGTGTGACAATCCTCAGGCTTTTAAATGTAATTGTTCTCTTGATTGAATTATATCATTTGCTTTTGTAAGTGGATGCCTTCTATGTATATTTCCAAAGAATAAAAGACAGACCTTCTATTCCGTATGCTTTTTATGTCCTTTTCTAATAAATGATGGTCTTCTTGATCTGTACCACTTTCTTCAATTGGACGAATGTTGGTTATTAAGAAAAAGGATGGTCTGCCATTGAAACACCTCAAAGTTCTTGCATTATAATATTTCAACTTCGTTCTTGGCCTCAGTGCATTCCCTCCAAGTTTCTGGTCGGGTTGAACATTACTACATGTATTAGTGTTCCAATCCATACATACAGTAAATGTGCATGTGCTGTGGTGGTAACACCAATTGTTGTTATACTGCTAAAGAGTCTTATCATTTGATTGGATAGTATATTGTGCGAGCTAATATGAAAGAACACTGCAGTGATGTATTTCTAGATCTTGTCTGCATTTAAGAACTACCCTTTTGTTGTGTACCTTTCTGTCTTCTAAATAAGAATAGGTTTTGTTGCACTCATGCGAATTGGATTTATTCCAAATTTAAAACATTTTTGTTCACCAAATTATGAATGGAACGGAACTTTGGTTGGATGTTGTTGGCTGTACTTCCTTGGAGCTTGTAGCCTTCGCAAATCTGAGGTTTGAATCATTCCCATGCATTTGAGATGCTTTACTCAACATGATTACAAATTGATATCTATTTCAAGAAGGTCGATGATCATTTTTTGATCTGCCACAAGCTTAAAAGCACTTACTCATTCCATGGTTGATTATGATACAAAATCTTCCGTCTTTCTCTCTGTTTTTTTTTGTTCCCAACAGAAACTGCCACTGTAAGTGAAGATCCATCAACCATAGATTGTTTTGAACTATGTCGACTTCCCAATCAGCATCTTGAAATCCCTCCAAATAAAATGAGATAATATACCACATTTCAGATCTTAATCTTATTGGTTCCATAATTAAAATGAAAGAGATTCAAAATGAGAAGTCTGATACTTCTTAAATCTTCATACTTCATTATTCAGGCCGAATTTCTTTACCAAGAGTTGTAATGATATTCTTCCCTGAGTAGTATGAAGTGATTCATGGTGTTGTAATCTTGCTTCACCCTAGTTTAGACATACTGGTAGCCATATCAAGAGGGCCATCATGAAAATGGGCCCTCTTGATGGTCAGAATCAAGTGGAACAATATCCAAGTTTTTGGTGATAAGAGGTAAAAATATATATTTTTTCCTTCTCTTGAAGGTCAAAAAAGGATCTCTTGATGGCATTTTCCCGATGAGTAGGATTCCATGTCTTATCTTGCAGCGTGAGTAAGCCGTCATCTCCCGGGGAATTTTCATGAACAAAAGGAAACTTCGCTTAACTCATTATCTCTTGGGACTCTCTGGAAGAGAGTAGACCACTTTCCCCTATTGAAAGGTACTTGCGATCTCTTTTGAAGGTTTCTTACCTGAAAACACTCCGCAAAGGTCTCAGCACTCGAGGGTTAAGTGGCTCAAACATGGTGATCTTCACACCACCTTCCACAAGATCGCCAATTTCCGTAGGTGAGAACACTATTTCTATCATGAAAGTTGGAGACCAGATCTTCAACCAAGCCCCTTTCATAGAAAAGGCAATCATAGACTTCTTTAAGCATCTTTTTTCAGCACCATCGAGCCCTAGACCTAGGATGGTGTCCTTAACTTTTAAGACCATACCCTCTAAGCAGGCTGCATGGCTCGAATGCCCTTCTTTGAAGAGGAGTTTTAGCTGCTGTCAAATCTTTAGGCCAGGACTGTACTCGGGGCCTGGATGGCTTTCCAATTGCCCTGTATAAGCATTTTTGGCAACCCATCCGCTTGGGCATTTTAGTATTCTTGGAGGATTTCCATAACAGTGGTATTATAAACAAAGGCATGAATGCTACATCCATAGCCTTGATCCCTAGAGTAGAAGGGGCTGAGGAACTCAAAGACTATCGGGCCATTAGACTTGTGATCCTACAAAATCCTCTCCAAGGTCTTTGCTCCTGGACTTCGATAGGTACTCAGTTGGGTTATGTCCCTTAACCAAGCGGCCTTTGTTGAGGATAGGCAGATCCTCGATGGAGCTCTAATGGCTCATGACTGTATTCACTCACGACATCTTGCCAAAGTCCCAGGTCTAGTTGTCAAATTGGACTGGGAAAACGCGTATGACCATGTCAACTGGCAGATTCTGGACGAGACCCTTAAGAGGATGGATTTTGGCTCTCAGTGGTGTAAATGGATGAAAGGGTGCATCTCTAGCCCTTCTTTCTCCCTCCTTGTCAATAGATCCCCGAAGGGCCTTTTCCACTCTTCTAGGGGTTTAATGCAAGGGGATCCCCTCTCGCCCTTCCTTTTCTCAATAGGGCTGAGGTTTTCAGCAGTTCTATTTCTGGCCTGTATCGTCAAGGCTCTCTCAAGGGTTTTAAGATCGGCAATCATGGATCCAAGATCTCACGCCTTCAATATGCCGAGAATACCCTTCTATTCTGTGACTCGAACCCCCAACAGGTCGACTGCCTGCTCCTATTTCTTAAATGCATTGAGTGGGCACCAGGTTCAGAGCAAACATGGCCAAGACCATACAGTTAACAGTTTCAAAAAAAAAGAAAAAAAGGCCTAGACCACGATGATGGGGTTGTTGTCGACCACGCGATGGTCACTAATCTAGCTCTTTGATGGGGGTGCAAAGCTCAAGCCTTGCCGACCTCCTACTTGGGCCTGCCGTTGTGTATAGGCAAGCCCAAACACCGCTAGTGGAGTCACATCATTGATAAGTTCGATAGGAGGTTCGCAGGGTGGAAAGGTCTATTCCTCTCACCAGCACGTCAACTTACCCCTATCAAGGCAACCCTATCAAATATTCATGTCTTCCCAATGTCAATTTTTCTTATGCCTGCCTCTGTGGTGAGCCATCTAGAGAAGATTATAAGAAACTTTCTATGGTCAGGTGCAGAAAATAGTCCCTTATTGCTTGGGACAAAGTCTTCTCCCCTAAGTCTCAAGTAAGTTTAGGCATCTGCCGACTCAAAAACAAGTACTGTTATGAACCTAATGCCTCGGTTCCCAGTGTCAAAGTCTCTAACAACTCCTTAGGACTTTGGAGTGGCTTGCTCTTTTGCCTCAATCAGTCTGCAGGTAACATTCGATGCCAGGGAATATCTGGGGACAATTTCTTTTTGATCAGACCTATGGATTTGTCATACTCCTCCAAGGGAGCGCTACCTCAAGCTTTTCCGCCTGGCCAGCCACCTCCTCTCCTCTGTTGCAGATAACTTTGAACCTTTGGGCCCTGGGAGAGTGTGGAATCCAATGTTTAGGAGGCCTGTGAACGACCTAGAGAGGCCGGCCTTCCTTGAATTGCATGCCTTACTCCACTCAACCTTTATCCCATCCTCTGGCCAGGATAAGATAGTTTGGGCACTGGCCCCGTCGGCATCTTCTCAGTATCGTCCTTTTGTCAAACACTTCAAAGGTCTACTTGTGTGCTCTCCACGTCTCCGTCCTCGGTAGCAAGGGCTTGGTTCTCTTTCATACCTCCAAAGACACAACTTTTCAGTATTTTCAGTTGGATTTCTATCTCCGAACAGGTCTTTACCGTTGACCAATTGCAAAGGAGGCGAATGCAGATTCGTAGCCGGTGTATCCTGTGCCGCAATGATGCCAAATCCAACGCCCACCTCATCCTTCATTGTTAACTTGCTGGAGAACTCTGGGCAGCATACTTTAGCTCTTTGGCTGGTAAAGGGCTACTCCACTGTCCATCCCTCTTTAACTGTTTTCGTCTCTCCTATCTACCCCTTGGACCAAGTCGGGTACCCTCCTGCGGAGAGCTGCGGTGGCTGTCACAATTTGGGTCATCTGGTTGGAGAGGAACAACAGGACTTTCTGTGGTGAGGTGATCCATACTGAGGCCCTCAAAGAGGAGATTCGCTCCCTGGTCATCTTTTGAGCGCAAAACAATAAACCTTTCAAGCACTGCTTAGCGGCGGCCTTTCATCAGAGTTGGTGAGCTCTGCCTTCCTTCCAACCTGCCAGTATCCTGGAGGTCCCTATGGAGTTCTCCAGACTATGCCCATTCTAAACTCAATTTTGATGGTTGCTCCATGGGCATCCCAAGCCCCTCGAGCATCGGGGGCATATTCCAAGTCAGAGACGGCAGTACCCTGTTCTCCTTTTCTTGCTTATTGGCCTTGCCAACTCCACTGTGGCGGAGGCATCAGCCCTCCTTGGCCTTTGGAACTTCAACCACACCTAGGGCACTTCTTTGATTGTCGAGGGAGACTCATCTAACATTATACCTTGGACCCCACGAGCCACACCTTGCGCATTTGTGAAGGGATATGCATGTTGTATGGAAGCATACTTGGGAGGAAGCCAATGCCGTAGCCAACTCCCTCATTATGGAGGGAGCCAACCGACTACAATTGCAGGGGACTGTTTTGGGCAGTTTTTGAGTTCTCAAGTCCCGGCTTTGTATATCTTGTGTCACCAATCTTTTGGATGTCTATGATTGTATAGATTTTTTGGACCCCTTAATGGGGCTTTTGGATTAGAACACTCGACTTGTCGGTGCTGAATTTTTTCTACACTTCTAAATGTAATACAACATTTACCACATCCAGAAATAAACATGGACATTCCTTAACTTAAAACAAACATAAATCATGAATTCATAATTCTTTCCCATTGAAAGCATAGGAAAATAAATTGATTATGAGATACGCAATTCATAACATAATTGGTTATTATTACAGGTTCTCCCACAGGCCATTAGATAATCCTGAATGGAAGCTCATTACTACAGCTTCTGCCATAGACCATTAGATAATCTTGAGTTAGAGCATCTTCCACTTTATTGTTGATGTTCACATTCATCTATTTTATATTGTTGTGGTATATTTGGGGTTTAATTTTGACGTGTGATCCTAATTTCTTTATAGAAGCTATAAGTTTATTGGATATCTCATCTCACTTTATAGTGCTTCTTAGATCCTTGGTTTTCATATTTTATTGATGTCTAGTATTGTTTTATCTTTCTTGACTTTCTCAAATGACTGTATTTTAGATTTCATTAAGAGATGCATTCATAGTTGCTGGAAAATGATAATATTTGCTGAAAAATGACCAAACTGTCGGATTTGATTGCTGGGAAATGTTTTGTTCACTGTTAACTTGGTTTGACGTGGAAAATGTCTGCTGAACTTCTCATATTTACTCTTTCTTTCCTTTTTTGTATCAAATATATTTTCACTTCTCAAAAGTTTCTTCTTCTACGATGAATATTGCATCATGGGTTGTATATGGGCGATTTTGTTTATATGACAGAAGGTTTTGATGATTACCAGTGTATTGGAACAGACCTTAGGCTTTGCTGTTGTTTCTTTTATAAGTTCAAGTGTTGTTCATTACATCCTGGGCTGTAAATGGATTATTCTTCATATGTTGGATTGGAGGCATGAACCGTTGGCTTCGTTTACTTTTGACTGATAAGCCAAGATTTGTAGGGCTTTCATCTCTGTTGATCATGTAGTTGTATTTAACTGCCATTAAGTGGTCTACCCAAGCACAACCTTTGGTTTTCTTCTGTACGTGGTCACCAAGCACAATTTATTTGCCATTGCAGGTACGTTGCCCCTGAGTACGCCATGACAGGGCATCTCCTCGTCAAGAGTGATGTCTATAGTTATGGTGTGGTGCTTTTGGAGCTACTTTCTGGGAGAAAACCAGTCGATATGTCCCAACCTCAGGGACAGGAGAACCTTGTCACGTGGGCCCGCCCCTTGTTAACCACCAAAGAAGGACTTTCCCTGCTAATTGATCCATGTCTTGCTGGAAAATATGAGTTTGAGGACATGGCCAAAGTCGCGGCCATTGCTTCAATGTGTGTCCAGCCCGAGGCCTCTCAAAGACCATTCATGGGAGAAGTGGTCCAAGCCTTAAAACTTGTTTACAATGATTCCGAAGATAGTTGTAGCAATGATGGCCAAAGCCAGAGGGATGACTCATCCCCTGGTCTAGATTCCGAGCTCAAGGGCAATCTCAATAACAGCTGGTCAAATGGGGGGACCCCATTTTATAGATACAATTGTAATGCTCCATCATTTGTGACTATGGAGTATAGTTCAGGACCTTTGGATGAAATGGATAGGCCATTATCTGCGTCAACTTTGGTGGGGGCCAGGAAGGGAGGGTCAATTGGAGAGCCGCACATTGGTTCGGGTCCACTGAGGACAACGCGTAGTAAGCCTGCTTTTTACAGGTTGAGGGAGAGTATTAGTGAGCATGGTTTCTTCTCGAGGCATATTGGGGGTGATGCATTCTGGGTTTGAGATTGCGGTGTCGATTCTTTTACCTTCAAAAGTGTACAGTATTGAGAGGAAAGAGCTTCTGCCTGCAGCCTGCCTGATTGTGCTTTTAGCTGTCTTGGGTGGTGATGTATTATTGTTTTTGTGCAATATAGTGAGTGACGGAGTTGTGGCCGTTGGTTTACTGACCTTTTGTTCAGGGAGGGAGGTCAAGGCTGTTCTTATTTATTTTGAAATATCCATTTCTTTTACTCTCTCTGCAATTGCATTTGACTTCAATCTCATTCTTTGGGATAACTATCTTTGACTTCCCCAACTAATGAAAAAAGAGCAGGCCAAACTTAGCTAGGTAAAACTTGCATTTAGGGACTTACCTGGCATCATATTTTTATCTCCATCATTTCATTGATGCCAATTACATTTGCATTTGATTACGGAAAAAGTTGTGTCAATTTTATACTACTAAAGTAAGGTGCACCCCAAAAATCCACTGAACAGAGTAATTTGATGTTGGAAAAATCTCCAATGGTATAGATATATGGATATAAAGAAAAACAAGAATTTTTAAGTCTTAAAAATAATACATCTTATAATAAGTTATTTACAGTGCCTATTTTCAAGATTTTTCAAGTGTTTATAGATGTGTTTGATCTGTACCTCTTTAAACTTTTAAATTTCATAACCACCGATGAAAATTGATTTGCAAGTCATCATTAGGTTTCAGACATTGTAATTATATCTTTGAGGCAAAACCTAGAGGTATGCCTTCCATGGTGGGTGGCTTACATAAACCTCACCCATTGATTAGAGCTCTGAGGTTCTTTCTGTTAGGATGCTTTTATCCTCCGGGGAAATATTTGAAGCTTGCCCTACCCAGTTTGGCAGTCAAATTTCTTCCATCCATGGATCTGGTAAATATTGAAACTTGCCTGGTTGCTTTGCAATGAACCATGGTAGACGCCATTTTGAGGGACTGACCATTTATGCTTTTGGTGGCACCCAAAAGCCCCAGTGCATAACTAGTTTAGGTGTCTGTGGACCCTTAAATACCTCCACTTTTCGAGTGACATGAAAACTGAATATACTAATTGCCATCCTATTCACAAGTTGACTGAGCATCGACCACACGATGCATAATTTCCTATTTCTATCGAATTATTTCTAGCCTCTTCAAGATTTGGATCCTCTTGAGGATCTGTGCATATCAAATGTCTCTGGATTGTTTCCAACCTCTTTAAGATTTGGATTCTCTTGAGAATTTGTGCATGTCAAATGTTTTTCAGTTTAAGGTTTTTTCCCGTATTCAACCATTTTTTCTTGTTTTTGGGGTGTGGGTGTGGGTGTGTGTGATGTTGGTGGGAGTGCATTCAAACAGTGGACACTGGAATTTTCTTGGGTTTCTTTAGGACTCTTTCTTTTTTCTATAGATCAGTGGGTATCCCTGTCTGTAGTAGGAATAGAACTCAAGAAAGAATAAGAGGGCGTGAATGCAATCAGAGAGGGCCTGGGGGGAGGCAGGTTTTGATGCTGGTTAACAAGAATAGAGCTAATGTTCTTTTTCTCTAGGACACTAAGTGACCTAGTCATTCTTATTTTCTGTTAGATAGGTTTGGTGGTTGGGTTCTGTCAGTGTTTGTGGGTTGGATTTTGTTAGTGCTTATCGGGTTTATGGTATATTTGGGCACCTAGTCTTTTGAACTGTATTGACATTATCTATTATGAATGTATTTTTGGCTCTTGTTTCTGAAGGTTCGTTTCCCTCTTTTAGATGAATCCTTTTCAATGTGTATGAACGGAATCAGTGTTCTCTCAAGGAGCAATTTTTGCAAGATCCAATTTCAGTTGCTATAAATTGGAATTTACCTTGTTGCTTTGGTGGTGACTTTAAGATGGTTGGAAGGATACTCATCTCATAATTCATATATGAGATTATTTAACAACTCCATTATGCAGAATGGTCCCCTAAATATCCTCATTAGTGGCACTTGTTTTACATGGACCAATAATAGCATGAGCAATTTGATGATGAGTAAGATAGATTTATAATTTCGACATAATAGGAGAGCGTGTTTCCTTTGGTGTGAGTAAATGCGTTGCCCAAATTGTCTTTAGACCATAACCCTATATTTCTCAACATTGAAAGGGGGATCAGGGTCACTTCCCTTTTAGATTGGATTTGGTGTGGTTAGAGGAAAAGGATGTTGTCCATTTGGTTAAACAGACTTTTGAGAATACTATCGTGTATGGATGGATGGGTTTTTAATTGCATAAGAAGCTTCTTAATATCAAGCATAAGCTCTTGGAATGGAAGAAAACAAACAAATTTTATATTGAAGTTAAAGTTGATAACACTCTAAACTTGATTTAGCTGATTGATTTAGAGGCACAAAATCTCCATTACAGTTGAACAAGAAGGGCAAAGAAGTTAGCTTAATAATAATGGCATGAACTATTGAAATTAGATGAATTGTGTTGGAAACAAAGATCAAGGGTGAAGTGGCTGAAGGAGGGGAATTTGAACACAAATTTTTTTTATTCAATTACAAGCTCAAAAAGAAGACAAAATGATCTTTCAGGCAGCCATTTCCAGGGTATTCCAGAGGATATGATCAAATGGGTTGAGAGAATGAATTTGTTAATCAGTTTTAGAGGGTCTTTACTTCTAAACAATGTTTTTTAGTGGATTTGTAGGGGGCGACTTTTAGAGTTTTGCCTTTAATGTAGCAAACCAGTTAGAAGAACTTATACCCTTGGAGGAACTTAAAAGGGATGTGTTCTCATTGCCGGGTAATAAATCACTGGGATTTCCCTTAGCATTCATATTGGAATTTGCTGAGAAAGTGACTTGTTGCTCATGGTGGAGGACTTCATGGCAAGGGGTGCTTCCTTGGCCTATTTCAGGCCACAATCTGCATTTATGAAAGGTCGAATAATTATTGATAGTATGCTTGTTGCACAAGAATGTAAAAAGTGGGGAGCTAGGAGCTTGGCTTAAACTCGATATGGAAAAGACCTACAATTAGGTGGAGTGGTAGGTGCTTCAAGAGGTGATGAGATGCATGGGCTATGGGGCTAGATGGAAGAATTGGACTTAAGGTTGTATTTCATCGGCACATTTTCCAGTTTTGATAAATGGGTCTCTTAAAAGATTTTTAAGGCTTCAAGGGCGATTAGACAAAGGGATGCTCTTTCTCCTTTTCTTTTTACTTGGACTGCTGAGGCTTTTAGCTTGATGATCTCTAAGGATGAAGGTTTGGGTAGATTTAAAGGTTCAAAGTTTCAAATTTAGGCCCTTATATTTCACATTTTCAATATATACCAATGATACTAATGAAGAAATCGGGGATCATCTTTTTTTACATTGTCCTTTTTCTACATCCATTTGGGAGTGGGCTTTCAGTTTAATGGGGATTTAACTTGTGCCACCAAAAAACATAGACATATTTTATTGCATATGGAGATTCCGGATTTACCAAAGTGTGGTCAATTGATTTGGAAGATATTTAGAGCTGCAATTCTATGGGAAATTTAGAAAGAAATAAATAGAACAATGTTTGAAAGTGAAGCCTAGGAAGTTGAAGAAACTAAGCTAGAATTATAGATGGCCTATGGAGCTGGTTCTCGATCACCAAAGATAGGGTGGTCATCTTTAAATTGGATCTCATTTGAAATCTAAGGAATTTGATTCTAAGCTCTACTGCTTATGCCAAATAGAAGGTGAGATGAATGACACAATTATCGGGATGCCTAAAATTTAATTTTGATGGGAGGTTTTTTGAGTAACCCTGGTTTCACTTGGCATGATGGAGTTATTATACACTCAAATGGACATATCATTTTTCCTTATAAGGGCCATGTAGGTTTCCAACAGCTAATATGGCTGAGATCATTACATTTTTGCAAGGCTTGAAACTAGTAAAAGACAAGGAAATTGGGCCTTTTGTGTGGTGGAGGGAGACTCTCACAATGTCTGCTGTAATAGAAGAAGCCGGCTACCTTGGAGACTTTCATTAATTTGGGCAGAGATTTATAGATTTTTTTTCAACGTGTGTATAAGGAGGCTAATGCTATTGTCGATGGTTTGGCTAGGAGGGGGCATCTTTGTCTTTTTTTATTGTTAGGGAGGGGCTTTTACTTTGCTTATATCCTTCAGGTGGTTTTTGCACCTCTTGTAATTTTGATCATATAATAAAATTTCCTATTCTTGTCAAAAAAAAAAAACTCAAAATGTCATGTCATGACACCTACCACCCCAACCACTTATGCCGTGGTTTCCTTGAGACACATTTGGGTATTTTCACGATCTATGAATTTTAAAAATTAATATCCTCATTTTCTTAAAATAGTTTTGTTATACATTTTCACTGTCTTTAAAATATCAAAATTATGTTTTATGGTTTTCTAATTTGAGTTTGGATTTGTTAGCCTCAAACGTTTTGGAATATTCTATCTCTTTAATTATTAGGTGAAATGTTTTTTAATTATTAGGTCATAGACATGGATATACATGTCAATTTTCTATACGGATGTGAGTGTTCAGAAACGTGAACTCCAAAGAAAGACATATGGACATGACATGTATGTAGAATATGCGAGTGTCTACGTACATGTATGGATATTTATATATACATATATTGAAATTTACATGTAGTATAAGTGCATTTATGTATTCAACAATTCATATAAACATCATAGAAATTTTAAATTAAATTAATAATCCAAAATATGTTACTTTGTGAATCATAATTTTATTGATAAAAAATTTCTTAAAGTCTAAGGCAATGTTGTGCCATAACAACATGGAAAAAAAAAAAAAAACTAAAATCTAATAGCTAATTATTAATTCAAAATGTAAATTCTTATTGTATGGCTATTGAATTAGGTCCTAATGTATGGCTATTGAATATTCATCCAAAATCATATGATCACACTACTATTTTTGTTTTATTCTTAACTACTTTTATCTTTCCAAAATATTTTCTCTCTTTAAAATAAAGTATTATTTGTTGAAGAATGACTCTAAACAAAGAAACGCTAAATTTCAAAAACAAAATGTGTATAAGAAAGGGACATATGCTATTAGAGGCTCCATGGAAGTGACTGCATTTTTGGAAGTGTCAACCCGCATGTTTGTGTCCACTGAGTGCGCGTGTTTCATAGGTTATGAGTGGCATACAAGACCCATCCAGTGTGCATTAAAAGTCATAACTCAAGTCTCTCTTGTGGGTATCATACCAGATATATTTTTTCATGAACTTGTTAGTATTTTCATGGGGGACTAGCAAAAAAATATTTTTATAAT